AACCAGAGGCACATGTGAACCTGAAGGAACACTGGCCGCCCTGGGGACTCTTGTCCGCTTCCCCTGGGCAGACCTCGGCATCAGTGGGTGGGGCTGCACGCGTTCAGGGAGGAAGGGCGAGCTGGTGGCTGGATTTAGGAGCAGGACTGCGTTTTGCTCGTTTTCCGCCTTGTTTCTCATGCGTGTTGTACTCCCCAGGTTGCCCACCTCTCGGACTGGAAACCTTGAAGATCACCGACTTCCAGCTGCACGCGTCCACAGCAAAGCGCTACGGCCTGGGCGCGCACCGGGGGAGACTCAACATCCAGGTACCTGCCCGCTGATCTGCCTCCTAAAACGGAAACCCCGGGAGCCCGGTGCTGTTCACACAGGGGGCTTTGTGAGTCAGCATCCACACAGGAACAACTGGTCTCACTTTATTTTGGTTCCATTGCTAATTGCTATTGTAATGTTGTTGTTTGTGTTGTTAAGTGCTATCGAGTTGTAGGAGTTGTAGAAGACTCTTGTTGTTGTTGTTAAGTGCCATTGAGTCGCAGGCGACTCATAGCGACCCTATGAAGGAGAGTCCTCGATGCTTGGGTGCCTTTCATCCTCTCTCCAGGTTCATAGGGTTTCTGGAGGCAAGCTATTATGGAAGTGGATGCCACTCCTCCTTCCACAGAAGACTCATAGTGACCCTATAAATGAAAGTCCTTAACACACCTGTGTGACTTTCACCCCTTCTCCAGGTTCATAGGGTTTCTTAGAGGCAAGCTATTACGGAAGTGGATGCCACTCCTGCCTCCAATCTTGTTTTAATTGGGAGCTCCACACTGGGTATTGTAATAGAACCCCCCCAAAAAAATTCTCCCCAGGAGCAAAATACCTATTGCCGGATGCCACTCCTGCCTCCAATCTTGTTTTAATTGGGAGCTCCACACTGGGTATTGTAATAGAACCCCCCAAAAAATTCTCCCCAGGAGCAAAGTACCTATTGCCACTTAACTGAGTCCACTTCACAGAGACTCAGTGGGACAGAGTGGAACTGGCCACAGGGTTTCTGAGGCTGTGGTAGGTTTTTGTAAGAGTTGTTCATTCACTGGCTGTCTTTATTCTGTATATTATGCTGTGCTGTCCATGCCTCTCCTCTTACCGCTTCTTTTTTTAGCCTTTTACTGGGGTCCACGTGAGAGGTTGCAGAGCACGTGAGTTTCTCATTCAACAGCTCACACGCTTTCCCTTGGTGAGGTTGGTTTCTGTTCTCTTGATGAAACAGCGCTCCTGCACTTCCTCCCTGGGTCTCCGATTCCATTTGCCCGCCCTTCCCGCTCCTTCTTAACTTCCGAGGGTTGCTTGTGGGTAAATGCTGCCTTTCGGTCTCCAGGGGAGAAGATTCGATCCTCCGGAGATTGTTGTTGCCGCTGTGAACTATCGAGTCAGAACCGACTCTCTGGTGGCTTTTCAGAGGCAGTTAATTGCAGGGGAGGTGACTTCCTGTCTTTCTCCTGTGGAACAGCTGGTGGATTTGAACTGTGTGGCATTGTTTCTTCCATGAGGCCACTTCAGCTCTGTTCCTGTGGAGATCACAGCCTAGAAAATTCTCTGAGGTGGTTTGGCTCTCTCAGGGTCACTGAGAGTCAGAAAAAGAAGAGGGTGTCTGGGAGTGCAGTGGAGGCCCAGTGCAGGAATGGGAGAGGTGCAGGTTCGATTCTCAGTGCACCTGTGGGCGGCCACTACTGTCAGTGGAGGCGTGATTGTTACTATGGTCCATGGTCCTGAATAGGTGTTAGGAGAGCTTTCAGAGTAAGGAAGACCAGGAAGAGGAGCCTGGTGAACCACTTCTAAAAATCCGCAGAGTCACAACAGTCTGGTCCCAGACTGACGTTCCAGTGCACGTCCCAGCTTTCTCCCTGCCTGCTCTCTCCTCCTCTTTGGGTCACCTCTTGTTAATCTCAAAGTGAATGAGTTTCTTACACAGGCCCCACCAGGCCAGGTCCCCCTTTCTTCTTCCTAGTCCAGACCACTCTGGAGACTAAGGTGCACCCGATACAGGCCATGGTCTTTGCAATCACTTGCTATGCATCAGAGAGCTGGACAATGACTAGGGAGGATAGAAGGAGAGTTGATGCCTTTGAGCTGTGGTGCTGGAGAAGAGTATTGAATATACCATGGACTGCTAAAAAAACAAACAAGTTCATCCTGGAGAGGGTGAAGCCAGGCTGCTCCTTGGAGGCAAGGATTCTGAAATTCTGTCTGACATACTCTGAACATGTTGCAAGGAGGGACTGGTCCTTGGAGAGGGATGTCATGCTTGGGAGGGTGGAGGGACAGCGCAGGAGAGGAAAACCCTCAATGAGATGGATTGATTCAGTGACTGGGGTAATGGGGGTAGGTGTGTCGGAAATAGATTGGCACGGGACAGAGCAGGGTTTAGGGCTGCTGTACAAAGGGTCGCTATGAGTCGCAAGAGACTCGACGGCACATAACAACAATAGTCCAGACCCCATGAAATGGATTTGACTGCCACAGGTGCACAGTCAAAATCTGCTCCCCAAAATATATCTCCCCACAGACGGCAGTTCCCAGTGCAGGATCAGGATTGCTCATCTTGTCTCATATCTGAAGATTTTGTAGGTGTGTCAGCTAAGGGGTTTTCATCTGAAAGGATCGTCCTGCTGTCACAACTGGGAGCTGTCCTCACTGCTGCGGAGCAGGGGGCCACTGTTGTCTGCGCCCTGCTGGCTGAGGTTTAGCTGGTGTGGACCGGGTGGTCCAACCCGAAGGCATGGCTTGCAGGCTGGGTTATTGCCGTGATTTGATGCTGAAGGAGCTCAGAGGTCTTGGGCAGGCTGTCCGCCTTCTCTGAGTCCACATGTACAGCCTCTCCTCTGAAAACCCATTAGAGGATCACCTATGAATTAATTCTTGCATTAATTAATTGAATTAATTCAATGGCACAAAGCCATAATAACAGATATACATTGATGCTTACCTAGCTATATACCTGTGTCTATCTCTTCCTATCTATGTATGTCTGTATGTTGTTGTTGTGTACCGTCGAGTTGGAACTGACCCATAGCTGACTCTCAGGCTGCTTTTCAGAGGCAGTTAATCTAATCGCGCAGGAGGAGATTGCCTGTCCTTCTCCCGTGGCGCAGCTCGTAGGATTCGAGCCATATGCTTCAGGATTGCAGTACAGTTTCTTACCACTAGGCCACCACATGTATATCTATATACATGTACATTTGTATTTGGATAGTATCTTACCACTCACAACATTGTACTTTAGGAGAGGTCTTGGAATAGTCTTTTTAACTATGAACACAACACCATTCTTCCTCAGTTTTCCATTCCTGGCATGGGGGTTCATGGGCTCATCGGACTCAGAGTGCCGTGTCTGTCCATTTCAGATGGTTCAGTGAAACCTAGAAGTCCATCTTCATGCATTCCGTTTCGTTTTTGACAGCATCCAGTTTTCTTACATTCATACTTTAAACATTACATCAAGATTCTGAAGAGCAGTGATGTCAGCTTGAAGACTAAGGTGTGCCTGATTTAGGCCATGATCTTTTCAGTCACTTTGCTATGCATCTCAGAGCTGGGCAGTGAATAAGGATGGCAGAAGAAGACTTAATGCCTTTGAGTCGTGATGTTGGAGAAGGGTACTGAATATCCCATGGACTGCCAAAAGAACAAGTGTATTTCTTGGAGGAGGTGCAGCTGGAGTGCTTTCCTGGCGTGCCTGCTCTACTCACGCTCTCTGGTTCCTTGGCGTCTCAATGCTCTGTCCTAGAAATGCTCAGCATGTGTTTCCTGGGGCCATTCACCCTCTTCTACAGCCTAGCAGCCTCTACTCACTCATCAAACACCCCCCTCCCTTTTTAAAAGCTGATCTTGTAATTATAGCTGCAATTATTGTTTCTTCTTCCTTTGCATTAAAATAATTACTTTGTTAAATTTTAAAATTGTTATTTGGGTGAATGTATGCAGAGAAAATTGGCTTTCCATTCAACATTTGGTCCATATTTGGTTTCAAGCAGTAGATTGTAGCTCCCATGATGCAGCCCCGCTCCTCCCATTCCGTCTCTGCATCCATATTCATTCATCCTTTTTCCTACCTCTTCCTTAGCTTTGACCTTTATCCCTGGGTAAATACTGCTCTTGCGTGGCGACCTTGAACAAAGACAGCACGCCAGGAAGCCTAACCACAAACCTATTCCAGAAATCTCAAATCCTGGCCACCCAGCTAGGGGGTGGAAGAAGCCAGAGGAGGAATGACATGCTGTTGGGAGCAGGTGTCCAGGACACAAGTATAGACTTACACAACTCCCAGTGTTGCTCAGTCTTCTAAGTTTTCTTTTTTAATTGATATTTTAATGAAAGTTTATAGAAAAAAGTTATTTTACACTGGTTTATTTACAAAGTTTGCATACATTGTTTTTTACACCAAAGCTTTACCATTTCCTTCACCACCCCCATCAAATTGTGTGACCCTATGATTACCCCCCCCATCCATCTTCACCCCTCTGCTCCCATTCTCCCCAGCTTGGATCCTCATAAACATTCTACAACTATGGTCTTATACAGTATTTGGCTTTATGAGACTGAGTTAGTTCACACAGCATAATGCTCTCCAGTCCCTCTCAAGTTGGGTAGTAATTTACAAAATCATTGTTCGTGTGTGCTGCATACTGTTCCACCATGTGAATGTACTGTAATTTCTCAATCCATTCGTTTGTGGTTGGACATCTGGGCTGTTTCCATGTTCTTGCGATTGTGAATAATGCTGCTATGATCATTGGTGTGCAAGTCTCCATTTGGGCCTCATTTCTCAGGGTATATTGCAAGCAGTGGAAAGATGGGCCATATGTAATTTCTATCTTCAGCTTTTTGAGGAAGTGCCAAAATGCCTTCCAGAGTGGCTGTACCATTTTATAATCCCACCAGCAATGTATAAGAGTTCCTATCTCACCATATACTCTCCAACATTTATTACTTGTTGTCCTGTTAAACTTTGCCACTGCTACTGGGGTGAGGTGGTCTCTTATTGTGCTTTTGATTTGCATTTCTCTTATTGCCAATGATTTTGAGCACTCCTTCATGTGTCTGTTGGCCTTCTGAATATTTTCCTCTATGAAAAGTCTTTCCATGTCTTTTGCCAGTTTATAATTGGTTATCTGCCTTTTTATTGTAAAGGCCATGTAGGATTCTGTAAAGTTTTGATATGAGACCCTTGTCTGAAATGATATGATCAATTATCCCCCGCCCCCCCCCAGTTGGTAGTTTTTCTTTTCACGCTGGTGGAAAATGTTTTTGATGTAATGTTGCT